ATGGGGAAATAAGCTGCATCAGATAAAAAAATATTTGAAAAAGAAATCCACATGGTGTGTCTAGTTGTAGCTAGGGAGAAGAGAAAGAGACAGAGAGAGAGAGAAGGGGAGAGAGAATCAATTTCCTTTTCTATTTTCCCCCTCTATTTTTGAGTTTTTCTCCTCTCCCTCGTAATTAATGAGTGTGTGTCTTTCCATCTTGTGTGACTTTTGCTTACCATCCAAGTTTTTTCCAATATTGGTGTTTGGAATTTTAACTTAGTGATCTCTTGAAGCAAGAATAGCCTTTGAAGCTAGTGAAGGACCTGGAAAGACACAAACTCATTAATAATTATACTCAAAACTTCAAAAAAAATAAATAAATAAAGAAACATTTACATGAGCTTGCCATATTAATTCGAATCACATCCAGGGAAGAAGAAAGCTTTCAACAAGGAAAAACAAAGTAGAATGCAATAAAAACAAGTAAGAATCTCCACAGCTTCAACAAGTAGCAAAAACATCAAGGATGGTGTTATGTTCATTCTTTTAATTAATATATTCCCTCTTTATAAACTTAAGGAGTGACCAAATGAATTTAACTTTGTATGACTCTTATTTTCCTTACAATTAAATCTCTTAATAAACCAATTAAGCATAACTTTACAGTAAGAATATGTTTTCGATGAAATAAAGATTATTAAAGTGCTAAAATAACATTTTAACATTTTAGTGATATGATAATTAGTGTCTTATAACGATAATATCAATGTAGAAAAATATATTTTACAAGAATTTAAATAATAAAAATGAAAATTTAATGTTTACTTTATTTCTTATTTTACGCTTAGAGATATTTTTATGTATACTAATAGTATAAAAACTTTCTATTTGAAGGAAGATGCGATAGGGCTATTTTGGTCACTCTACGAAATTAAGCAGCTATGTGTAGATATTTCCCTATGATCTCATCGGAGAAGCCATTGAAGGCACCGGTTCGGATTAAGAAGAAAAACCATGTAGTGGAGGTATGGTCCTAACTGAAAAAAGTGAAGTCAGAAATAGAGACAGAAAAAAAACGACAGAAAGTAATACCATGAATAAGATTGAAAGGCTGCTATTGGGTTGATAATCAAAGATAACATGCCTTTCTCATTTAGCTTGAAATTAAATACAAAATATTTCATCTACATTTTCTAATTTTAACTTTTAAATTATAACTCATAATTGAAAAATAATTCAAAAACTAAAAATTTTCCAAAATTATATTTGTTTATTAAATTTTAAAAAATTATAGCTCGCATTTTAAACTTTATATACACACTAATATTTAATATCTTCATTAAAAAAATCAATAAAAATTATATGATTATTTATAGATTTATTATTATTTATTATTTAATGACCAAAGAGCCACTAGATCTAAAAAATAACAAAAATGTTATTTATTTGATTTTTTACTCAAATAAAAACCTTAAAAGCTAAGAAACAATTATATATTGTTAAATCTCATAATTAAGATAATATAAAAATGTAAAATAGAAAGCAAGCTAATACAAAACTCAATTCATGTATTATCTTTTAACTCCTGGACATGATGCTTCCTCAACTTCAGAATTCCCAGACCCACGAGACGACACTGGACCCAAATCCCAACCTCATCTCCACCGATCAAGAATAAATAGCAGCGACAAAACACACTTCTCCTCACAACAATGGCCCAGGAGAAGAAAAAGGATAACTGATTGAATGGTCTACGACATCGAACCCAAAGACCTATGACTGTTTTTGCTCTATCAACTACTGATTCAGAACTTTGAGGTCCAATTTCTAGCTACTGAGGTCTACTTTTCATATTTACTTCATATGTTGGTTGCTTATGTATAACTGATAAAATGGATAATCCAGAATGTTGTGCTTGAGTTGCCTGCTTCTGTGCTCCAACTCCATTGGTTGCTGACTTGTTTGTTCGAGTTGCCAACGCTCATTAATCAATAAATAAACATGTTCATTGAGGTTGGGAAGTTGCTGTTCCTAAATTAACAACTGGACATGATTGTTGACGTTGGATTTAACCCCATTGAAGACTGACAACAACAGCCCCAGTACCGTTCCTCATAAACCTTTTTCTCCTTCCAGTCTCCTTTCTCCCTCACATGACTGAGTAGCCCATCACATATTTCTTCCTCTTAAACCTCTTTCTTCTTCTGATCTGACCCGAAACAATAAACAGATTTAGGGTTCTTCCTAAGTTTCAATTTGAGATTTTGCCACCAGAGCTTCACGAGAAGAGACAAATGCACAACAAATTATTAGGTTCCATTGACGGTTAAGAAAGAGGGAGAAATGTCGAAATAAGAGAGACTGATTTTTCTATGAGAAGATTTTTAGTTGATTGATAAGAGAAGAAATGATCTTTTTAGGTTGACATTGATCTTCTCATCTAATAAGAAAATTAATGGTGTAGAATATCTCACTACGTCTAATACAAAAATAGTTTACTTTATAATCCAAGACAGGTACAAATTTATTCTATATTATTCAATGAATAAAAAAATATAACTGAAATTGTCAAATTTTGCAAGAAATCAAGTTAAAAATAAATTTTAAGTTGTAGCATAACCTAAATTATAGTAGAGTTGTGATAATAACATAGTTAATTTTTATTATAAATTCTAAAAAATTTAATGAATTTTAAGGACTAGATAAAAAAGAAAAGAATTAAATAATATAGATACTTCTAATTAGCCTAAAAGTTTTGACGAAATTAAGTAGAATACATAGAGTAATTTATTATTTTCCTTGACAAATACAAACTATAATTTTTTGAAATTTGATTAGCAAATGTAATTTTAATTAAATTATAGGATAGTAGGGGCAATTTTTCCATTTAAAAATTATATCAAAAGTAAAGTTACTCCCCATTCTTGTACCTCTTCCATTTTTTTAATATACATTTATATAAAGCAATAAAAAAAAATCAAAGAAGAGCACTAGAGTGTGTTTCGTTTCAATATACACACAAATATTTATTCAAAACCTAGATGCATGATTTTTTTTTTATCTTTATACTATAGCCCTAAAAAAAAAAAAAAAGTTTCTACGTACTCCAATAGTGTGAACATGCAAGGATATCACGATAGTAAAAGGCTGCGATCTAAAGGTAAATCGCTACCATAAAAGTGGCATAGTGCGCGCGCGCGCGCAAATCCTTATACACAAACGCACAAGAACATGAGTGCTATAATACGGTGTAGGTGAATCTTTTTCAAAATGACTCAAATCCTTTGACTAGCCAAGTCACTAAAAGACAGCTGAATTTCTCTCCTTGTACGAAGATATCAACATGAGCCATGTTTTTCTTCTAAGCACCAAGCAAGTCAAAATGGGTTAGGAGATTTGTTTAGCTTTATACAGAAGATGAACTAATATTTTACTAATCCAAAAGGGAGATCTGTTTTGTCTTAATTGCAGAAGACAAACATTTCCCTTTACTTGATCAAGTTACAAGCCACATTGAACACGTAAACAAGAGCAAAATCTATTTAAACATAAGCATAAATTAACCATTATCAAAAAAACTATTTCACCTAAATATTTAAATATTTAAATTATCAGGAGAGTTTCAATATATGATTTTTTTTGTTGTTGAAAGAAGTTGATATAATTAATTAGAATATAAATTTGTTGTGCTATCATAAAAAACCAAACATAACATTACAGAAGCTGATATAATTAATTAGAATATAAGTTTGTTGTACTATCATAAAAAACCAAACATAACATTACACTAAAAAGAAAAGCAAAAACAATAAACTATCTAATTAGAGAAACCTGAACTTCAAGAAAGCTATGGACAATAAAGCACCTGTTACGAAGAATTTAAGATTAAAACAAGAAAGTAGATAAATCTCGGATCATCTCTAATAAGAACTAACTGATTGAAATCTTTTTCTTGAGAAACATATTACATCAATTAAGACCGTTTCTTTCCACCTTTTATATCTGGTTGTCAACAAGCAACTGAACCTTTATCTCTACTTGAGAACCATATAATTGCTCCAAAGACTACAAGCTGCAGAAAAAAACAAAGCATCAGTAGATCATCTAATTGATTCGTAGCCAAACAACAAAATCAGATATTCTATGCACTCCTTGTTTAGCCAGGTAGTCTACCAGGTGATTACTCTCATGGTAAAAGTATAGATAATTGAATCAAGATATAAAGCTAGTCTCTTAACTGTAAAAAAAAGTTTATGATATATAGTTCAAAAGGTTTATATATAATTTATATAATTTTTTAATAGGTTTATATTAATTTGTTTTTAATTTTTATTAAATAGAATGAGTATGATGAGATTCAAACTCTTAATTACTTGATCAACAAGATTCTAATACCATATCAAAAAATAATCTCACTCAAAAACATAAACTGTTCGGTAAAAATTCGAAATATGATTTATATAATTTTTTATCAACCTCAAATTAATTAAACAACACCTTATGATAAAAGAAGTTTTAAATTTCATGATAAACTGAACAATTCTATACGTATAAACAAATTATATAAGGCTATAATTAAAAATATTACTTTTTTTATTCTTAATCAACCATTTAATATTTCTAAAGCCACACTTCGTCATTTATCACTTTAATTATACGTCAAATTAATATGTTTTGAATATGAGTAAACCATTTTTCTTAATACTTGGTGGTTTTTGCTGATAACTTCAAGTGAAATTATTAACTGAATTCAATGAGATATATAGCTATATAGTAATCAAGATGATAAATGAGAACATAATAGCCTCCTTTTAGCTAGCACGTTTTGACTTAGAAGGTTAGGATTTCTCAGGGCATGATTAACGGTTTTAAACTACCAGATTGAAGACCAAAGCAAATACCTGAAATTACGATTAGGTTGACCCCACATTTTGATATTAATCACGGCATCACTCCCGGCTTTTTTTGCCTTTATAACCCCACTCGATCCTAGCCAAGCTTATCACCTCCCTAATTCGTTTTTTTTCCCTCATCAGAGATCGAGCAAGGGAAAAAAAATGTCAAGACTTGCAATCCTTCTGATTTTCTTTCTCTCTGCTCCAGCAACGCATTTGGTTTTCTCTTCATCAATTCAGGACCCTGAGCTAGTGGTACAGGAGGTGCAAAGGTAATAATGTACAATATATATTGCCTAAAATCGTGTTTTATTCATACATATATATGTTGTGTATAATAGTATGATAGTAGCTAGATGGTGTGCTGAGAATTTACACATTTTGTTTATCCAGGAGCATCAATGCTTCAAGGAGAAACCTTGGCTATTTATCATGTGGAACTGGCAACCCTATAGATGATTGCTGGAGGTGTGACCCCAATTGGGAGAGGAATCGCCAGCGGCTAGCTGATTGTGCTATTGGGTTCGGAAAGAACGCTATTGGGGGTAGAAATGGTCGGATTTATGTTGTGACCGACTCTGGTAATGATGATGCGGTGAACCCCAAGCCAGGAACTCTTAGGCATGCTGTAATTCAGGACGAGCCCTTGTGGATCATCTTCAAGAGAGACATGGTAATTCAGCTGAGGCAAGAGCTGGTCATGAATTCTTACAAGACCATTGATGGGAGGGGTGCTAGTGTTCACATTGCCGGGGGACCATGCATTACTATTCATTATGCTACTAACATTATCATACATGGCATACATATACATGACTGTAAGCAAGGAGGGAATGGTGATATACGAGACTCTCCTCGCCACTTTGGTTGGTGGACTCCGTCGGACGGTGATGGGGTTTCCATCTTTGCTAGCAAGCATATATGGGTTGACCATTGCTCATTGTCTAACTGTCATGATGGACTTATTGATGCCATTCATGGATCGACAGCCATCACTATCTCCAACAACTTCATGACCCATCATGACAAGGTCATGCTGTTGGGCCATAGCGACTCGTATACACAAGACAAAGACATGCAAGTAACTATAGCCTTTAATCATTTTGGCGAAGGGCTGGTGCAAAGAATGCCAAGGTAAAATGAGAAATCCTAATCAATTGTTTACCCTTTATGTTTTTTTTTTTTCAATGATTTTTGCTACAATCTTTGTCGTTTTGAAAGCGTTTTACGTATTATAAAATTGTTGCGTTTGCAGGTGCAGGCATGGGTACTTTCATGTGGTGAACAATGACTACACCCACTGGGAAATGTATGCCATTGGTGGGAGCGCTGCTCCTACAATCAACAGTCAAGGAAATAGATTTCTTGCACCAAATAGAAGATTTAACAAGGAGGTGAGTGCTCATAAATACATGAATGAAACCCTCTTCCTTTTTTATGGGTGAAGGATATTCTTATTTCTTGGAAAAACATTTCTTTTTCGTGTCCTATGATAATACGGAATCAAACACAATCACTGCTTAGGCTAATCCTTAAAGGGTCGAAATGCGACCCTGTCGTAATACACAAAATAATTTGGTTTACTAGTTTCAAAATCTTGACATTCACGCAGGTGACTAAACATGAGGATGCACCGGAGAGTGAGTGGAGGCACTGGAACTGGAGGTCAGAAGGAGACTTAATGTTGAATGGTGCCTATTTCCGGCAATCAGGCGCTGGTGCATCTTCAAGCTATGCAAGGGCTTATAGTCTGAGTGCAAGACCATCTTCTCTTGTGGGGTCAATGACTCTGACTTCCGGTGTACTTAACTGCAGGAAGGGCTCTCGATGCTGATTGTGGCCATGCTCGTAAAGTTATAGTATTATTAGCCATAGAAGGCTACCAAACGAGTATGGAAAAACAGTCATAATTAATCAGGCCTTAATTACGGGCAAGTAGTTTGTCATGCATCTTCAGCGATTGTTTTTCTTTCTTTCTTTTCCTCTTTTTTTGACTATCTAAATGCATGTATTGACGACCTCTCTGTCTTCTGCTTTTGAAAGTGTTGGAACTGTTGTAATGGCAACCCTTTGTTTTGTTGGAAAAAGTAAGAAAAGAGCAGGAGTGTGTTGATTTAAGTTTGAGGTCTGTTTGGCTTCAGCTTCCGTACTTCACGTCGATGGAGCGTCAATCTTTGCTTTCCAATCTATTGATTGATTTTGCTTATTAATTTTCACTTGCAACTCCGAAGTTCCTTGTTGACGAAAATTACCACGACTTTTTTAGACCATTTATAATGAATATCTGCACCATGCAACAAATCCTTGCGTTAAAATTTATACCTCAGTCTCAGCTCAAGTGTCAAATATATTTATTTTTGACAAAACCCATAAATTTACCTATATATGCGTCTCAGGACTGCTTACTGTGGATGAGAACTCGAGCACCGCAATTTAACCTAGAAGGGAGGGACTGCAATTTATTTTGTCGTCCACCGTGATTTATGATAATGTGAAACGGGGAAAAAAAACGCAACAAAGAGCAGGAAAATGTAACCAGCCAACCACTAACGCACATTTTGCACCCCGTCAATCGTGGAGAGACACATGCAAGTGGGCCTCAGCTGGGAGGTTCAACTTAGCATAAGTCTAATCTCCATAATCATGACGAATATCATAGGGGGTTGTCGAGGGACGGGTAACAATCCCAGCATGCAAGCACATTTACAATCATTAAGTTTTCGGTTTGAAGTCATACTTTGTTTATTTTTCTTTTTTTTTCCTTGTACTTTTATCGGATATGATATTAAAATAGTAATTATTTTTTAAAATATTTTTTATTTATAAATATATAGGAATGATATTTTTTATTTTTTTAAATTTATTTTATATCACTGCATTAAAACAATTGAAAACACCAAAATAAAAAAAAAACAAAAAGAGCATGAAGAAATTAAGAGTCCCTAAAGAAACTATACTATAATGAATAATGGAGTTCGAAGGATTTATATGTTTTTTGATTATTTTTTTACTTGTAGTCACAAAATTTAATCAAGTATCAACAGTAGTTTATAAGTGCCTCATGCGTATGAAATAACATGATTTTGTCATTTTCAACATTTTTGGTTTTTCATTGAGAAATTGAAAAAAAACAAAAAAAAACAAAAATTCAGAAAAACCAATAAATACATAAATAAATAAATAATTTAGTTTATATTTTGGTGAATCATTAGTTAGGGTTTAATGATAAATTAAATCCTTATAAACTCTAACTAATGACTAACATAAATATAAACTCACCTAATTAATTAATTAGTTTTGTTGGCTTTTTTTCAAGGTTTTTTTTTGTTATTAAAGATTTTCAGGGCATTAAAATTGAAAAAAGTAAATGATTTCACATGTCCTAATATAATTTTACAAATCTCCAATAAATATCCTTACATTTCTAATTATATTATTATATCACTTTATATTATCTAATTCTTTAATACGATATTTCATCAAGTTTTTATGATTATCATTTTGTTGATAATTTGATATAATTCTGAACAATTTGGCAGATACTCTCGTCAAGAAAATAATTCATGTTCATGATTTTAATCGTTTCAAGTGTTTTTCATGATCTTTAGATATGTTGACATGTTTCCATGTTTTCTCAATCTCTCTCTCCCATTTTGGAAACCATTTCCTGACAACGATCGATCCTCGTCAAAATAAAGAACTAACCTCATCTCTTCCATATTCCTATCCACGACAGCCCTTTCTCTGCTAAATTCAGGCCATTACATCTTTGGTTGATCGATCTTTCTTTAATTTCTCCTACTGTGATGAGTTTTGTTTAAGGCACGCACGACAAATTCTCCTTCCTCTCCACCCATGCGATCTAGCTCTTCATCCCCCCATCCTAGTAGCAGCTACAACAACGAGCTTCCTTACAATTTCAATGTTGATGGTGCAGCTCTTAGAAATTTCCAGGATGGAAATAAATATGGTGTTAGTTTAGAGACGTAAAAATATTTTATATAAAAATAACATCTTCAAAATACAATTAAAATTTTTAAATTTTTAAAAAAGAAAAAAGATAAGATCAAGAAAAAAAAATATTTTTATTATATTTTGTTATTTTTTTAAAAAAAGATAAGATCAAGAAAAAAAATATTTTTATTATATTTTGTTAACATGCTTTTATAAATTTGAAATATAAAAATAAAATAATATAATTGTTCATAAAAAAATATAAATGTTAATAAAATATTATGATTGTACATCAAATAATATAATTATTTGAAGTTTCAAATTTCAAATATTATCTTTAATATTACAAATATTTATATAATAGTATTAGAAAGCAAAAAAAAAAAACCTATACCATGAATTAATTTATCACACAATAAAAAACCAAAATTTTAAAATTAATATTAATAATTTTTTTTAAATGTAAGATAAATATTATTTATTTATTTATTTAAAAACTACATCAATAATAGCAGCAGCAGCAAGATGTTGCATGCTAAATTGAAAAGGTTCCTACTAGGATTTCTATCGAGTATTTGGGTGAACTTTTGTAGCTCACTGTGAAGGCCAGCCATGGCTGGTAGGGGTTAACATCCATAGAAATAAGAAGAAGAAGGGAGAGAGAGAGATTCTCAGAATTCATCATTCATTCATCATAATTTGTTCCATAGCCATCCAAAGTCTGTTACATTCATACAAGGCTACTCCTTCTCTGACAGATTCCTGAGATTAAGGAATTAACGAAATAGCAACACGTGTACCCTCTTATTACACACACAGCACTGAAAGGAAAAATTAAAACGGTGCGTTGAGTGTAATGGTCACTTGATGAAACGATGCGTTTTTCCATATCAGAATCATGAGAAGATTCTCTCCACTGCTCTGCATAAACTAGTGTGAGTTTTTCCATATCAGAATCATGAAACCTTGGGAATATGTTCAACTTGGCGTAGGTAATGTACTTCAGCAAATCTTGAGAAAGAACCTCTGGATCAACTGGCCTAGCAGAGGCTTGATGTTCTTGAGATTCGCTATAGGACCTACATCTATATTAACACCTTTGGCCTGTGATTTGAAATGACTATTAACGACGAACTTTGCAAGCATCTTATCTTTTATGGGGTCATCCACTTCCTTAACAACACAGAGGATCTCAAAACAAGAAAAGATGGGATCTGTCAACTCGATATTCTGTGAAAATGTTTTGGAGGAGTCGTACCTTCCTCCAACATGATTTGCAGCAGGAAGAACAGAGCACCGAGCCTAGAGAAAGGTAACAATGCCAGCCTTGGATATACTAATGCTCTGCTGCTCCATTGCTTCATGGATGCTCGCCTTGTCCTGATCATTCATCTTGTCAAACTCATCAATCAGGCTGGTCCCTTGATCACCTAGAACAAGGGCTCCTCCTTCTAGGGTCCACTTTTTTGTCACTGGGTCCTTGTGCAACACAGTCGTTAGAACAACAACAGAAGCCCCTTTACCAATAGTATACGCGGCCCTCTATCCAGTCTTTTCAACATACTTTAGAAATCAAGCTTTTTTAGTTCCAGAATCTATGAGAAACACATTTATGTCTCCTCTCAGCCGGTGTTTCCCCTGAACATTTTTCTCTTGGCCTCCAAACATAGCCAGAGCTAATGTAGTTTTTAAGCCTCCAAGTCCATAGATGGAAGGGGTAATAGACTTGATAATCCTTTCCCCTATCCTTGGGTCTTCAGACTACTTATCAATTTCTTCTTTGTTCTCTTGAGTGAGCTTATACACAGAAAAGAGATCCTGCTTCTTTGTGGCATCGTTTGCCTCGATTACAGAGGAAAAGACAGGAAATGCATTCGTTTGGTGCAAAGACAAGTCAAAATTATTTGCCAGTGACCTCAATTTCTTCCTCAGGGCGTGCACAGTCAATCAAGTCATTCAACAGTATCACTTCCTTGTATCTTGGAAGCCGACCGGTAGGCACAATTCCAGGGCTTTCTTGGAGTGTAAGGTTATTACTGTATATTGTATGCTCAATGTTAACAGTGAATGGTCCCTTTGATTGGCGTTTAGGGCAAGAAGCAACCTTGACTTCTGAATAAGAATTCTGAAAGAATGGTCCCAAAATTGCTCCATACGTGCTGCAATCATATTTTACCTTCTGCAATTTGAAAGAAGACAGAGATAGAGATTCACTGAATTCTTGCGTGATGAAAGAAAATTATTATTAAAATATATTTTGACTATCAAAATAATTAAAATTAGTATCATTTAATTTTATCTGAGAGGAGTTTTAGAGAGGTTATTTTTAATTTTAATATTGCTTAAAAATATATCTACAGGATTACAAATTTTATTTAATTTGATTTTAACATTTAGATTTTTTTTTGTTGATTGGGTTAATAAAATAGATTATGTTTCAAGAGTGTTTTTAAAATGTTTTTAAGTTGAATAAGTTGGAAAGGAGTTTTACGGAATAAAAAATTCATAACCTTAATTTTCTAATTATTAAGCTGGTAGATGACATGCGTTGTCCATAATGAACGACGTATTGTTTGTCTTTTTATATATAAAAAAGATAGATAACAAGTTATCCACCTTTCTAAATGAAAAAAAAAAACCAAGACATGTAGGCTTGAACTTGAAGGCCTCTATTTCTAGGCTTGAAGGCTCGCGTGTCTAGGTTCTTCCTTTTAAAGGCCTAGAGTGTTGGGTTTTTTTTGGGGTTTTATATGTATATATATTTAGGTTAAATATAAATTTATGAAAAAAAATATTGAATTCGGTAAAGTCCATAACTAGGATCACATGTTCGATAGGCAAAGCCACAACATTCAAACTATTATTTTCTTTCTATTTTTTGTTTTATGTCTCTTTTGTCCATCAATTTAAAAAAAAAATCAATTTCACTAGTTTTTATAGATAATTTATTATTTTATTTTACTTAAAACTAGAAAAAAATATAATTTCATCCTTTGTTATCAATAATTTACTTGTGTTATTTTAATCCTACATGCCTGTCAAGTTTCTTTTATTTTAAAAAACATATCTCATACAAAAGAAATTCTCATACATTTTATTTTCATATAAATCTATTAAATGAAAAATAATCTTTGAAATAAAATTTTTATTGAATTTGATGATATGTATGACATACATTGCGAATTTGGTTGGTTGACTTGAGTTCACTTATTTTTTTTAAAAAATGATTGTTTTTTTTTTAACCATTTTCTTACTTCAATGTTGATTTAATTAGAG